CTGGTCAATCCTTCGGTTCTTTTTTCTTTTGAATCTGCCATTGATTGGTGATGAATGATCCATATGTTAATCAATTGTTCGATTGTTTGTGAATAAGTTATGCAGGACAATTTGTGGGTGGTCTCACAATTGTTCTGCAGAAGCTCATGGGACAAAGCAGTGGAGAAGGCAGCAAAAGAAGTTGATGCATACATGGGACGAGAGTTGATGGTGTGGCTAGCTTGATAATGAGGAACTTGAAGTTTCTTGCTTTTTAATGAAAATTTGAAGATTGATCAGATTGCTATTGGATGTATAGATAGTAGTAGCAATTAAAATGAAAGTTGCAACTAGAGGTATAGTTGTTATGTTTGTAGATTTGCCATTTTTGGCGGGTGAATACACAAGATTTGATTCAAACTAATATTGAAGACATATATTTCTTTCTTTGTTTTTAGTTCTTCAAAAGTAACTAAACGCGTTTTTGTTTCTTGTTGTCAGTTTTTATGATTTTTCAAATTTACCAACTAAACATGTTTATGTTTTTATGTTTTTTTCCTGTTGTGTTGTATGTCTGTTGTCAAAACACCAATGCAATCACAACAACAACAAAATGATACTAAACAGGCCCTCAGTAAAAGTTGTTTAAATTGTTCCTCGCTTTTTGGGCTATAGGTTGTTTAAATTATTCCTTAGTAACCTATTTAGGGTGCGCCTAAGAAATTTGGAACGAACAAGAGATTGGTTTAGTGGTAATATCACTAGCCATGAATCTGAAGGTCATAGGTTCGAGTCCCTTTAGTAGTACTTAATAACAAAATAAAGTAACCTATATCACCCTTATCTCAAAAAAATGTTTAGGGTGCGGATACGGTGACATGCATGTCACGGTGACTTGCACTTTTCGGTCGACCTCAGTTAGGATTAGGTCGACCTCATTAGGATTGGGTCGGTCAACCTTATTTAGAATTAGGTCGACCTAATCTGTTGTTTCAGCATAAAAACAGTTTCATGGTGCCTGCTTTGGAGATTCATATCATACAATTTTCTACATGGAAATTAAAGATTAATGGCTTGTTTTGAAGCTTGAGTGTCCCTCTACATATTGAAGTGATTGAGAGCTTGATAGGAAGTATAGAAGACCATTTTTGAACCTAATCAAAAGGCTATGCCAAAACTGGGAAACTGCCTGAAAATGGCCAAGTCAGGAAACATGTTTGTGAAGCCTACTTTGGAGCTCAATTCCAGTAGCATGAATACGATTCGAGTCCAGGGGCCTCTACCACGTTAAATTAGGTATGTTTTTATACAAATTCAAGGCATTGGATGAAAGATTGGATATGTTTAAGGCTTCATACAAAAGGGTCGAAGTTGCTACGAAGGCTGTTTTTCTGGCAGACTTCAAGCACAAGCAAGCTGCCAGAAAAACAGCCTTCATAGCAACTTCGAGCTTTTTTTTTTTTTTGAAGCCTTAAAGATATCCAATCTTCCATCCAATGCCTTGACTTTGTAAACAAACATACCTAATTTAACTTGGTAGAGGCCTCTGGATTCGAATCGCATCCATGCTTCTCAAATTGAGCTCCAAAGTAGGCTTCACAAACACTTTCCCAGACTTAGCCATTTTCAGGCAGCTTCCCAGTTTTGGCATAGCCTTTTGATCAGTTTCAAAAATGGTCTTCTGGACTTTCTATCGAGCTCCCAAGTACTTTAATGTGTAGAGGGACACTTCAGCTTCAAAACAAGCCATTAATTTCCAATATCCATCTAGCCAATTGTAAGATATGAATCTCCAAAGTAGGCACCATGAAAGTATTTTTACACTGAAACAACAGAATAGGTCGATCTAATCCTATATGAGGTCGACCGAAAAGTGCATGTCACGGTGACATGCATGTCACCGTAGCAAAGTCCAAAGTTTATTGTTTGTCAATTTTATGCATTATATTCTGGATTTGTATTAATATACTTATTGTGATGTTGTGTTCTATCTTTTCACTATTATATGAATTGAGGCACAACTAGGGAGCCATTGGTCATAATTAAGCTTGAGTAACGAAATTTATACACTCCTTAACGAAAATGATTTAGGACACCACAAAATATGGAGAAAACTAATTAGCAGGTTGAACACAAAATATCCATTGGTGTGTGACCAAACAAACACGTGCAATTGGAATAGTACGTTTACCCTTATATTTCATGAGTAATTATAGTTTTTTATTTTTTTTATTTATATGACTGGAATCGGATTATATGTGTGCTTTTTACTTTCTTACATTATCAATTATTCTGATTGGTTCTAATATTTTGTTGGCAAAATACACTTGTATAGCCAAAACTTTCACGTTTTTGCCAATAATAGCCAATTTTGGAGAAATACCACTTATAGCCACTTTCGTTCAATTCTTTAACGGTGTGAACTTACATGCTGACTAGACTGACGGCTTTGATGAATTGGCGACATTTCATCAACAACGCTGCCACGTAGATTAATGAAAAATAAATAAAAAATAAATTTAATGAACACAAAAATAATAACTAAAAGAAAGACTATTTAATAAAACCTCCACTTGCACAAAAAAAAGACCCAAGAAATATCTCCACCCTCCGCAGCCGTCCCTATTCGCTCTGCTCCATCATCTTCAAAAACCCAAAATCGATTGGATGGAGTTATGGAGACAAGGATGTGGCCCAAGACCCTTCCCCTTTCTCCATCCAAATGAGTTCTCGTCGCACACCCATAAATCTAAATTCGATGACCAACAAATAAAAAATGGTGACTGCTGCAGATTAGGTTGAAGCTTCTTTGAACGTTGGTAGCAGATCTGGAGACCTTACCTTCGACTCTGTATCGCCCTCGACTCCACCAGGACCCCGTCCACCCCCAACTTCCTGCACCAATTCGCGAAAACGACCCCGATCTTTCCCTCGCAAAGTCCAGATCTAGCCGCGCTATTGCTCCTCGGCATTCGCTGCTGGTCCATCGTCTCGTCACAGTGAAGGACGACTTACAAGGTCGAGCTCCCCGATTCGGGCGGATTGGAGGACGAGCATCAGGAGATTGAGTCCATCTCTTGCTCCGAAGAAACGCTTTCCACCTCCGACGAAGGGCAGGAGGCCCAGGCAGTGGAGTGCGGAAGGGATATGAGACCGAAAATTTAATTAGGGTGATGCAGCGGGAGCTCCAGCAGAGCAAAACGTCGGTTTTGCTGGAGCGAGGAAGTTGGCGTTGTGAACTATGGCATCGCAGTGGAAGCAGATGAAAGCGTCGTCGGTTTTGCAATAAACGTCCGGTGCTCCGACGCAGAGCTCGCAGATCTTGGGCTGATCCTCAATTTATTTTTGTCTCGAATCGAAGAATTCAGAAACGGGAGGGGAAGAATAAGAGGTCAATTGGATGAAGGGGAAAAAAATTAATGTTATTTTTTATTAATTTATGATGTGTAATTATTTAATAAACTTAAAATATGATGTGTCGCTATTTGCTTATGTGGCGCTGACGTGTTCGCCGAGTTACGAGCCCAGTCAGCAAACCAACAAATAAGTTGACGGTGTTAATAACACCGTTATAGTATCTAACGGAAATGGCTATGTTTGTCATACAACAAGTTTAAAAGCTGGCTATAAGTGGTATTTCTCCAAATTTGACTATTATTGGTACAAACGCGAGAGTTTTGACTATACAAGTGTATTATGCATATTTTGTTTACTCTATACTCCAATTCTTCGTAATTGTTTGCCGTTTAAAGTTTAAACTAGTTCTCTGACCCGCGCTTCGCAGCGGTAAGAAACTAATAAGTTACGGATAACTCTCACATTTTATTAAACTATTATGTAAAATCAATTTAATTTAAGAAACCTTTGTATCATACATATAGATGAGATAGTGAATGTTGTAGGTAATAATGAAGGAATTTTATTTAGTAATATAAGTAAATTAAGTTACGAAAAGTATCACACTAACTGACCTTACAGAACCTTTGTGTAATGCAAATTGTTGAGATGGCCAACAATTGAGTTAAAATGTAGAAATTTCATTCAAATTTATATAAAACGAAAGACTTACATATTACATGTATTTCATTGATAGATAACAAATTATGACCCTCGATAAGCTTTATATTGTTTCTTTACTATTACGAAAGTCTTATGTAATATGTTCTACTCAATTGATACATAAGGAATAATTATCTTTTGTAAGCTTTATCTAACATATCTGTTATATAAATATTTTGCAATGTGTGATCTAATAATAAAATCAAGTAAGGAACGCATTACACTTAATTAAACCACTATGTTAACGTAAACTTACATTACAGAGCTTTTCCGTAATAATAATTGATGAGATGATGAAAATTGTAGTTAATCCTGCTTCAGCTTTTGAACACGAAAATCATTTATAAAAGCCGGGCCAAACATAGGGTACATACTGTTAAACTATAAGTAGTACACTATAAATTGGAATAAGAATTACAAAGCTCCTTGCACTCCATTGTAAGACTTCATATGTGTTACTTTTAGGCACAGGGTTGTAGTTGGAGCAAGTTAGCAGGTTAGGGTGTCTTCCAGGAAGTCTTTGCTCACCATAAAAAATTGGAAGTTCTTGCTCAATTTAGGTTCAAATTGCCTTTCCTTAATTCTTTTCTCATTTAAATCCTTATATTAGTAAAATACATAGAGTACTCGAACGGTGCTGCATGGAATTGATTATGAGTGTAAATTCGATTCGAAAGAGCATATAACCACTTTCTCGGTTCTTAATACAAATGAAGGAACATCGTTTGTACATGAATTCTTATCAGCTCCATCCAAGACCCTTGGAATCATACATATTTAACGTTTATAGCTTATCCGGGAGAGTACCCACAATATTCATGTTAGGAGCACTATCCTTATATGATGCTTTACCACTAGGAGTTCTAAAGATTCACCACTCATGTTCCGAGTTACAAGCTATTATTTTGTTGATTTTTTCCTTCATTTAATGTTATGCTCATAAGTAACTGGATGAGCTATACATCTTGAGGTCCCGTTCATTAGCTTTCTCCATTAGGCCAGTGGCTTTAGATTGGTGGATGTTTAAAACAAGCATAGATGAGTTGGTATTATTTCATGAGTTTGCTGCAAAGAATGGAAATCGATGCTGACAAGCTACATTCCTCTTTTCTTATGGCATAACTATCACAAACATGGTAAGCATTATGAAAGAGGTTGAGATTCAGACGTGCCTGCTGTTCATAATGAATTCGAAACGCACTAGAAGAGCCTGTGGTACTCACTCCAACTCACTGCCCTATACATTTGAGGTTGACTTGGCCCCACAAGTTTTTGCACGGGCGAGATTCTCACATTCGAAGGTGGGCCATGAAGGTAGGCAATCGATATCCGGTTCCGGTCCCGGTTAACCATGGCCCGATGGACCACGCTCAGGCACAACCCGTTCGACAGTATGTGGAGCAGGTCGCCGATGTGCACGACCAGCCCGCCTCGAATCGGAGGGACCGTAACCCATCCAGTCCCTCCGCCGGCCCTCAGCTCCTGCGACCCGCTGGTGTTGCTCTGGTGGAGGATGGTGACGAGGGTGGAGTCTGTGTGCGGGGCGAGACCCATGGCTCGGTCTGGGTCGGGGCATGCCGGGTAGTGGTTCAGTTGGATCGCGGCCGAGGAGCCAGCAGCCTCTTTCTTTGGTCCACCTCTTGGGGCCGACCAGTTGAGGAGGAAGGACAAGAGCGATATCATTGCTTGCTGCAATTACGGGGATCTATTGGAATTGTGGAGCCTTCATAGGAAGAAAATTTCAAACCAACAGGGGGTTGAAGCTGCCAAAGGTCACTGGAGGAGACATCCACGGCGAAGTTTAAAAGAAACCCCAATGAATAAAAACGAGAGGTGCATGGATTCTTAAGGTGGTTTGGTCATATATACATGCAGGCGTACGTGATCAAGTAGCGATCAGAAGGAATGGACATGGATAGAAATGATACCTCACGAATTCATGTCGATCGGCTAAGGTGCGTGGTTAAAGGGCTAGAGTACTTTCGTTATCGGTCTATGCATTTAAATTCATGTTATGCATTTCAGTTCTGGTTTAATGTTTCAATTATTCTTTATATGCTTCCATGTTAAGGTAATTTCTTCACGTTCAGGTTTTACTTTATGCACATAGTATCATTGAACTACGTTTTAAGCCAAGCAAATATAAGTTCAATCCTAAACTAGTCAGGTGAAGGTTAATAAGTTTAGATATTCCCGGAGATCACCTTAACTAAGCTCAAACTTCTCAAGTTAAGTAAGAGCGATAAGGTTAAGTAAGTCTCTCCATCGTGTGAGAGATTGATCGAGCAAGTACGATTAAGGTATCAAATTAATCAGTCAGGGAAAGATTAGACCTTGCTTAGCTAGCTGCACACGGTCACCTCACTCCCCATAGTGAGGGAGTATTTTATGCACGGATCCCCTATCCTGAATTGTAAGGAGGTCGCGGACCCTCACTCATGAGTTGTAAAGAAGTCATGGATCGCCACTCCTGGATTGTATGGAGATTGGTACTCCACAGCTGTGTAGTGCGTGTGGTACCTTGTTTTCCACTGGAGGAAACCATGTTATAAATTGGTGATCGTGGTGGTGTGCTAGTTAGGTCGATGACAGGACCCCATTGTAAGATGAAATATGCAAGATTCTCAAAGTAAACAAGAATCATAAGCTCAAGTGCGCCTCACAATGTACCCAATAATGTACCTAAAGCATTGCATGTGCATGGTTGTCTATTCGAGTATGATAATGGAATTAGGATTAGTACTGACCTCATTGCCAGCATTCACGAATCATAGGAACTCGACAGTGCATCACAAGATCGATGATTCCAAGAACTCCAGTATGAAGTTAGCTGAGTTTGGTACTTATGGGACTTGAGACTTGATGCAGTTTTATGAATACTATTGATTTTGGTCAAATGTATCACGTTATGTTGATCTTTTGAAGTTTTATGTTCAGTTTCTCCTATATAGCATTTCCGCTTTCTTCCCACGTATTTAATGTTTCTTATTTATTAAGTGTATTTGGGTAAAAGTAGTACCCGGCCGAGTTAGGGTGTTACATTTACGTTACCGATGATTAATGTTCAAAAGTTTTAGCACGACGTTATTAACGTTTGTTCAGCAAGTATTAATGTTTCATAATTAATATTAAACACGGTGGTTTTAGTAAAGTGCTTGATAGTATCGTTATTTTCCAAATTATTAATATTAATCACAACACTATCAACAAGTCTAAATTCATCCTTTTTATTATCGCTATTTCATGAAATTGGCTATTTCATTTTGATGCTTGATGATGAATTGTTATTAATGCTTGTTTCTAACATTATCATAACAAAAATTGTTTTTCCATTTTGATGGTAGTCAAAATTGGTTCACTGATAAACTTCATTAGAAATTTAGGTCGTACTAGCTTTTAAATTTTATAAGGGCGATGGTCAAAGTTTTATTCATTTGTAACAATTTTTGTTATATTTTTACCATTCTCATCGCGCATGATCAACAAACATGTATTTTTTTATTACAACCATTATATAACCATTATAAACAAATTAATACATTGTCGAAAATTCTAGTTTATGTTTGTGACTTTTTTTAAATTGTATTATGGATGTTTCGCTTTTTCTTTTTATCAACATTTTCCATTTGTATTGCTCTTTGTTCACTCATGAGTTATCAATATATTTATATGCGATTTGTGATTTTTGACGGTGCTCCGCAATATGCCGTTTACAAAGAATACAACGTGCATGCCTAGGATTATATCACCAATACTACATCAATCACGCCTCATCGTGAGTTTCTATCTTTTGCTATCTTTGTCCTGATTTTTCCTCTAAATGTCCCAGAAATCGTTCCTATCATAAAATCATGTACTAGTATATGAAATATTACAAAAGGAACATAACCTAGCTTAAAATAAGCAATGAATGTTTATAACCAAGCTAAACAGTCAAGAGCTAGGACAAGCCATTGTCAAGTTCTGCATGGAAAGTATTACAAGCAGAAGAATGGTGAGATTAAAGGAATGAAGAAGTGTAACCATTCCAATCTCTGGAAAGCCATTTTCAAAGGCATGATACTGATGAAGGATTGGGTTGACGGTTACGGACGATAGATTGCAATCACGAATTAATAATAATTATAACTATTATATTAGTATTATATTAGAGAGAAAAAATATAATAGAGGGGCCAAGGGGCCGGGCGGCCCAAAGGAAACCCTTCCCCACGTGCCCCCCCCCCCCCCCATCTTTTTTTCCCACAAACTTTTGTTCCCAGCCGCCAGGGGAAAATAAGCAGCAGCAATTCAAGTGTCGGGTGGAGGAAAAAGGAAGAAAGGGAGCGCCAACTCCCGATCCCGGTCCTGATTTCCTAGCCCATCCTTTTCGTGTTTCTAGGTAAGGATCACGAACCCCTTCACTATTTCTAAACTCGATTTATTGATAGCCTAATCCGAAGCTCGTATTTTATTAGTAGTGACGTTTGAGGGTTTGATCAACGAGGAGATCAACGTCCCAGGTCATCCAACCTAGGCCTAGGCACGTTCTAGAGGTAAGAGAACTCGATCCCTTTGAGTTAGGTCGATTGATTTGGTAATTTTTCGTGAGGGTAGAATTCTGGTGTTTTAGCTACAGGCTTTACAGGCTTTTAGTGACAGATTTTGATTGGTCACTAAAGCTGTAGGAAATTTCCAGAAACGTATTTTTATATGTTTTAAATTGTTTCTAGCCTCTCTGAAGGTTGTTTTCTGAATTTAACAATTTTATAAATTGAGCGACGTCTAGGAGATGATTGTAATTTAATTTGGGTATTTTTCAATATGTATTTATATTTTTAGAAATTGTTCTAATATTCGTTTTAATAAATAAAAATCTTTCCGAGGGATTTTTAAGGGTTTGATCATTTTCCAAGGTATAGGTGCTCATGATTGACATGGGAAAATTATTGTCCAAAATGATAAGAAGGTTCAAGTTAGGTGAAAAATTTATCCAAGATAAAAATAATTAAGAAAAATGGTCGTTTTTGAAGGGATTAATTCTAGAAAATTTTAATGGGGGGTTAAAGGACCTTTGGAGTGAGTTTTGAGGATGGGACTTTGAGTAGAGGGCGTCTGGGCAGATAAAAAGGAGTCTTTTAAATCGAGAAAGGTTGTCTTAGAGTATGAACTTCTTATTAATAGGTGTCCTGGGATAATCCGGCTAAGGAGGGAAAGAAGGCGAGGAAGTTAGCAGCCGATCGAACTTCGTAGTCTCGCGTGATGAAGAGGCCCCGACCCTATCCTCCTAGACGACCCAAGGTGTCGGCGGTTCGAATTGGCCGCTGAATTGTGGTCCGAGGAGGGACCTTGAAGAGAATGGCGGCGGAGCTCCAACGGTTAGGGTCGTTGAAGAGGAAGACGATGAACCGATAGAGGAGGAGCCAAAAGAGGAAAAACGCGCGGGGCTTGAGCATGAGAATGCAGACGTTGATGCGACTAAAGAGGTGAGTGTAAAGGGGGTAAAATCTCTGTCGTAGGTCTTTTAGTTTATGCTTTTGTTTTCAGTAATGCTAGTTAACTTATGAGTTTGTGCGATATGTGTGTGAGGCATCCCACCGCCTGTAAGGGTGGAGGCACGCGTTGTGCTATGTATGAATGTTTGTATGGTTGATGGTATGAGGAACCCCCGGGCGATTGGGCCACTACTGGACGCGGTAGATGGTCGGGTCACTGCTGGACGGCGAGACTTAACGCAGCAGTCGATCGAGTTTGTTGGGTCACTACTGGACGGCGAGACATAACGCAGTAGTTGACGGGCATGGACTGGACGGCGAGACGTAACGCAGTACCATTGCTGATTTTGGCTATGCAACCGGACAGCGAGACGTAACGTGGTTGGCATACTAGGGTAGGGACACCGGACAACGAGACTTAACGCGGTGGTCCCTTGTGTTGGTGTTTTTGGATTAGGAGTATAAGAAGGAAATTCTAAAGATAAGACAGGAGTAGAGATCTCTTATAGATTGTTTATAGTAAAGTTTAAAGGATGAAAGTGACAACGACTTTCGTCTAGGGAAGGAATTCCCCTAATAATGTGTTTAGTAAGGAGTTTGCCTAGGGAAAAGACCTTAGGAAGTAACGACGAGACTGACCCCTTCTCACTCACCAGGTCGAGGAAGGGTTAGCAGAGGCACACTGCAGGAAGAGGCAAGTCGATGCGAGCAGCTGCACCAGCATTGTTGAGAAGTCAAGGAACTCGTGAAGAGTCAAAGCTAGAATAGTTTAATTTCTTTGTTACATGGTTAGGAGTGTAAACTGGAGATCCTGAGTTCTTTCATTTTAAGTATTGAGATTGTCATTTGCCCGGTGTTCAGTCTTTTGGTGTGAAATTCTTAAACATTGTCGGTTTATTTATTTTATAAAGTTGTTTGGGTTGCTCCGGAGTAACAGGTTTGTGGTTTGAGTTGTGGTTTGGTTTTCAAAAAGGATCGGGTCGTGTCATATAACCAAGCTAAACGGTCAAGAGCTAGGACAAGCCATTGTCAAGTTCTGCATGGAAAGTACTTCAAGCAGAAGAATGGTGAGATTAAAGGAATGAAGAAGAGTAACCATTCCAATCTCTGGAAAGCCATTTTCAAAGGCATGAGACTGATGATGGAAGCCACGTGCTGGAGCATTAGGAACAATTTTGGTGGATCACGTGTACAAAGAGGCCAATTTTGCAGCCGATTACTTGGCAAATCTCGACCATGATTTTCATTTTGGTACACACAATCTCAATGTTAGACATTCTGGTTTAGTTCAATGGCTTCGCCATAATGTAACAGGTATTTTCCAAGAACTTCTTATTAATATGACCTAAACAACTTTACTCTTCTTGCTTTCTTGTTTGTTAAATGAAAACCCCCCTAAATATCTTTCAAGCTTCGTGTATGTCATGGATGGTTTATGTCAGTAGTTATGCAGTAGAAGTCCTCGAGGAATACGATCCTAGGACCTCCTAGGATTATATCACCAATACTACATCATTCACGCCTCATCGTGAGTTTCTATCTTTCGCTGCCTTTGTCCTGATTTTTCGTCTAAATGTCCCAGAAATCATTCCTATCATAAAATCACGTACTAAGATAAGAAATATTACAAAAGAAACACAACCTAGCTTAAAATAAGCCAATGAATGTTTCTAACCAAGCTAAACGTTCAAGAGCTAGGACAAGCAACTTGTAAATAAAGAGACTCCCAAAATCATTTAAAAACAATGGCCTCGACTTAGGTGCTCGTCCTTTTTTAGGCTCAAACTTTTGATCCTTTTGGATGTTCGTTGTAGTGCCATCTTGTGACCAGATCAAAAGTAAAATCCACTCCTCTATCTGGTCCATGCGAGGACAGAGATGTAAAAGAGTATGAATATTAGTAAATGAAGGTTTGGAAGTTATATCCTATCTCACTTACATAATTTCTTGGTATGTACTCCCATCCTTAGGGTAAATCTAAGGCTATCATCCCAAGTTACGACAGGTTGTCAGGACATGTGAGATTTTCAAAAGTGGAGGTCTCTCAATTTGAGCCGAAGAAACAATCTCTTCTCTATCAAGTCTCGTGAGGAAGAGAGGTTAGTTTAAGGGAGATGGAGAGTAGCAGGTGAAAGTTCGGAAACAATATCCTTGTTTCGACTACACAATCATGCGCACGCCGATCATTAATATAAGCTCAATAGCCTTATTTAGTACTTCTGCCGGTTGCCAACTCACATGAGATAGAGAGGAGACCCCTCATTGACCAACATCCTCCAAATGTACCACCAAGTTGCACATTACCATGACATCTAGCAATTCAAATCACACAAAGTAGGTGATAGAGAGGGACAATATACTTGGAGCCCTCAAATTTTTAAAATTTGTAAGTACAATAGACTAGGCTCCAAGCACTCACAATATAGGCCAAACAATCAATTCAAATGTTGATCACCATCAATATTGGTAGAACGAAGTTACCAAGGCAAGACAAAAGTATACAAGGACAGGAGATGAGACCAGTCGAAGGAGCAGGGTTGGATTGTGGACTAGTCGAGAAAGCAGGACTGGTTGTGGACTAGTGTTGGGAGAGAGTTAAGACATCAAACACATATGAAACCTCAGATGGGTGAAATTATTTTGAAAAACACAAAATTTTCAAATTGTCAAACCAAAATAAAAACACACACACCCGCACAATAGTTCAAATCATACAAAAACACAAAGACAAAGAATAGTAGTTCGTGCCCGAGGATGATCAATCATCGTCTTCATCGTGATCGGCTATTAGAGGAAAACTTTGGGAGGACTGGATGGGGTTGAACCCAAACTGACCCAATAGCTTTTGCTGATTACTAAGCATGATTGTAGTGTTTTGCTGCTGCAACTCTGCTAGATGAGAAGTGTATGAGTAGAAGGGAGGTTGTGGTTAGAACCAAAACCAGTGGATATTGGTTAGCCTTGTGCTAAGAACCAAAACCAGTGGGGCGAAGACCCTGAATGTGTCAAATAGTGCCCGTGGTCATGATCAAGCCCATGAAGGTGAGGGTCTCCTAAGAAAAGTGGTTGTCTGGCTGATGTTGGCACAAAAGGTGAGGTCGAACCCTAAGAAATGAGCAAGGCATGTGAATAAGGGCCCCATGTGCATGACATATACTCTGGATCTCCCCACCACTCGAAAAAAGGAGTTCACCAACATTGACCCAATTTGTATGGACTCGTTCGACTCAACCATGGCGTGCAGAATGAGCAGCAATCGCTGAGTGAAATGTCCTGGTACCTGATGATTGGACACTATATGATGGGATAAGAGCATTTGAAGAATGTTCCTTTGGGGATGCAACAGAGTCCCTCTTGATATCATGGGCTTGAATTCGATGCCCAAGTATTGGAGCTAGCAAAAAGAGTCGAAAATTTCCTAAAAGATCACATCCATTGTAGCACCAAGATCATTCTTCGCCTTACGACTGGGTTCAAGGCCGATGGTATGGGTCGAACTATTATAGCTCATAGTGCAATCGAATCCACCCAACCGGGAGGAGACGTACGGAATTTCATGACCTTGACGATGCTTGAAATGCTGGTATGTGTTGTAGAACTCCATGCATAAATCTTAGTATATGTGATCCATAAGGTTGAGGATTCAACACCATTGGGGATCATGAAATTCCAAGGCCACTGGCTCCCAATAGTGGGAGGCAAAGAGATCAATGATGAGGCGGCAGTGATGACCTGCATCCCCATGTCATCAAACCTCAAACCTCAAAGTCATTCCCAAACATGGGATGGTTGACCAAATCCCAGAGGGAGGGATGATCCGAATTGACCATGTCCTCCAAAAATATGCACACAACTACACACAATACATAATGAAAAGGTTTGAGAATAAATTTGGGAAGAACAAACTCCCACATATTTAAGCACAAAACACAATGTCATGGTTGACATAGGGCGTAAACAAGCCCATAATCATAAAAGGGGGGAACATAACCGTGCCATAGTAATCCATCAAAATGAAATTCAGGATCATGTAGATAGGATACAAGACAAGAACGACCCTAATCCATCCATGGAAGTTCATCCACCAACACCCGCAAATAGGCATTAAGACTAGGAAAAATGCAAACACTTGGTAGGCACCAAACAAAAGCATATGCAAATTATCAAACCAAGCCCACCAAGGCATCCAACAGGCATCATAAACACCATAGAACATAAGCACAATTATTCTATACTAAAGCCCTCGCCTATTTAATCTAATCATGTAAAAATATCCAATCCCCCTCTTAAGAACCCTAGACTTTGATTTTTATAAAATTAACCATGTAAAAGGTAATATCACACCTAGAAAGTCAAGTACAATCCTAGGGGAAGGTGAGGAGAAGGAATGGAAAGCAAAATCCGCTAGAAAAACAGGCCGGAAGAATCAGTGGAGGCTTGTTAGAAGCTCGCTAGAAGCTCGTCGGAAGCTCGCTACTGGCGATTAGAACATGAGTGATAGTCACAAAAACATAGGCGAAGGAGCGACTTGACACTAGGGTTTTGGGTAAGAATTTGATTTTATATTGGAGGTGGTCAGAAAATGGAAAATTTGAATAAACCCGTGGAGGTAAAGGTTTCCAGCGACCAAACACAAAAAACGGTCTGGAATGAGTCACGACCATTTATATAGGCAAATGTCACGGTCTGGTGTAACAAGTCACGACCATGGTTGTGACTTTTACAATGTAACCATGACATCAAATGAAAACGACATCAACCCCGGTAGGTGTCATGGCTTGTGCTTAAGTTGTTACATGAACATGGCGTCTGTGACATCCAACACTTTTCCATAGATCAAATCAAAGTCATGGTCGTGACATCTGCAAGCAGGCTATGACATGCAACTAATATGCCCAAAACTCAAACACCTCATAATTATAGATAAACACAAGATAACCAAGTGCACGAACATAACTCTAGTCTCAATCAAACTCGCAAAATGACTTGATTCACACCAAAACAAAAAAAAACGAGGAAAAGAAAAACATTCCGGTGTTGGGTCGCCTCCTAACAGGCGCTTCTTTTACATCTTTAGTAGGACGCAGCTGGTGGATCTCAACTCATTTTCGAAAATGAGGCCGCTAAGAGAGAATCTACCACACTTTTAGGATACAACTCCACTTTGTCACCATCCAGTTTAAATGGACGGTTATTCGAATGCCCCATTTTCTCCTTGCCCTTAATCATCTTATGGGGAAACTTTTGTGCCTTTACTTTAGGCCTCCACTCCACACTCAATCTCAAATTAGGGGACTAAGGGGGCTCATGAACCTACAAAACATCAAGCACAGGTCGCACAAAATATTTGTGCACACAGTGGGATAACAACATGTACCACACTAGTCTCAACCTTTATACGCATAGGATCATTGTTCACTAACTCGCTAAAACACAACTTCTAACAATGGCCGAGTGTAACCAATGAAAGGGACTGAAGTATAGTGTCACAAGTAAAATATCGAATCCACATGTCTCTAGAGTTACTATTACTCGGCTTCGGTTCATTATCTAACAAACCAGTTTAAGATAGAAGAAGGGTTAATAGCATTTTGTACCCCTCTACTATAATGAATTAACAAACGTACCCCTCTATCAAAATTTTGCACAAACATACCCTTCTAATATTAAAATGTAACAAGTTTATCCTTCCATCCAATTATCCACTAAGTGACCGTTAAAGGAGTTGTGAAATGACCCAACTACCCCTCATTTACTTCTAAACACTTCTATTTTAGGTTTTAATTACTTTATATGTCCCAAATCAATTAATTAAAAAAACCAAACCCTAGACTACACTCGACGAAAAAGGCAGAAACCGTTCATCTCCCGTTCTGCAGTCACGAACCGCTCGCTGCAGGAGGCCGTGTAGTCGCCAGACTCGTTAAACAAGCCAGAGAGGTCAAAGACAAAGGAAAATGAAACGGAGATGATGGAACCGCGGCCCAACGGCCATTTTCGCGTCCCTCCGCTCTGTTCTCGTTTTTGCTCGTCGATTACCTTGAATCAGGTCGGAATGGCTGGAGGTGGCAGGCATGAAGTCCAACCCAACGAAAGCAAGGAAGAGGGTGGAGGCCGACAATGATGCTTCCATGGTTCGCGCCAGGAACGGCAACGCATTTACTCGATGAAAAAACACAGGGGTCGCTCTGTAACCGTTTCTATGCGGCTGCCGGTTCTGGCTTTTCCGCCTTAGTGCGGCTTTGTTGCCGATTCCGCCCTCCGTCTTGGTGGTGGGATTTCGTGGAATTCGATGATGCGGCCATGGCGACGGCGTTTCTCGATGTCCGCCACGGACTGCCGCTGACACCCGTTCTGATGCCAATTTCTGTTGGAGACCATGAGGGAATTCATCATGGCGTTGCAGATACAGTTCATCCGGTGGCGTCCCTCAACGACGGCGGGGCGATCCGAGGTACAGTTTCGTCGAGTTCCCTTCAGACGGTTACAAATCATGGCCGATTTCAACCGTCACGAGCTAAGCATAAAGCATTATTCTTTTAACTTTTTAATTTTTCCTTAATTCTTTTTGTGTTACGGTTTTCATACACACCCTTTAGGCCTTTCCACTTTTTTATATTCCCCTTATCATTATCATAACTGCACTTTTTTTAATTTGCTGCTTTCTAAATTCTAGCCTTTCTAAACTTCTTTTGCTTGAGAGCTGCAATGGTTTGGTGCTTAACCCGAGACATTGTCTCTGTTTGTTTATGTGGTGATTCGCAAATGGTGATCCGACGAGTAACGGAGAATGTTATAGAGCATGATCGGGGTGGAGCAATCCTTGAAGAGGTTTGGCTGCTGAAGGCTTCATTCACGTTTATTCGATTTGTTTTCTCTCCTCGTAGAACTAACAGGGCTGCCCATTGCGTGGCGAAAACGGCTCTTGCCTCGGTTAATCAGCGTTTGGCTGATTTCCGCGATTTATTTTTCACTTCTTTGTAATTCCCTATCTATTAAATATCTACCTTAGTAAAAAAAAAAAAAAGACAAAGGAAAATAAAATCAAGTCGTACACGTCCAGGCTGCGCCCGCTGCTGCCGAAGTCGAAATCCTCCACCACCTAGTAGTAACTCTTCTCCTTGTAATCCTTGTTGAACCAGGGATCGTGCCGGATTTCATAGACGGTGATCCTCGTCTCCGGATTGGCGTCTAGAAGGTGGAACAAGAAGTTGGTGTAGCTCCGGCGATGTCCATATGGGGCACCGGAGCTGGGCTTTGTAAATCTTCTTGTACATGGTCATGTGGTTGGTGTCGTTGAAAGGCAAGTAGCCGGCGATGAGGACGAACAAGATGACCCCACACAGATGTCCACCTTGGCACCGTCGTAGACTTTCTTGGAGTGTGATTTTTTATAGGTTTTATTTTCTAATTAATATATTTGAGACATAAAATAATTAAAACCTAAATTTAGGAGTGTTTAGAGTAAATCCACTATAGTAGAGGGGTACAAAATGTTATTAACCCATAGAAGAACTATAACTAATCTAGCAAACTACAGTTAAAGTTAATCTAATTACAGGTCGGGAACTCACTCAGACATGATTCCCCTTAGCTCCTCAATTAGGTTCAAGATGTAATTTCCTTTGGTCATTTTACTATTGATTAGATTGCGGAAGATCCAAAAAAAAGTTTGGTATCTTTTAAGCTGACAAAGCACAGGAGAATCCATGGTTCATAAGTAAGAAATCGACCTTAACTGACAAAACGCGTTTTGGGGAGAAATGCAGGAGTTCTTGTTAGAACTCCGAAGTTAAACGTGCTCAGCGTGGAGCACAACAAGGATAGGTGACCTTATGGGAAGTCACTTTGAATTGCACCCCAAGTATAAAACCATGAGGGTCGAGGCCTAAAGAGGACAATATCTTACTCGGGAAAAGGTTCGGAATGTTACATTTCCTCCACAACTATAAAAATTTCGTCCCCGAAATTGGAACGGGAGGATATGGACTGAAAACAACCTCTTATACGACGATATGCTGAGTCGAAAGGACTACTTTTGTTGGGGTATAAAATTTCCCTCCCCTTTAAGAAAATTTTGACCTCGAAATTTTGGGTTGAACTGCGTTGTTTACATGGTGAAACAAAGCTGAATCACCGAGTTTATTATTAAATACCAAGTACTTAGAACTGAACACAAAACTACAAGGGACCAACTAGCTACCAATCTAAACATCGACTAATAGTCAAAAGCACATAGTTCTATATCATTGTTTTCCATTTACCCCACATAATCACTTCAATGTGTTGGTTCATCCCCTTCATTGTCTCCACGACCACCTTCTATCCTTCCCATGGCCAACACTCTAGGGTTCCCACCAACTCCCGACATTTGATCCTGGTTGCGACTAGTATAGTTGGTGTTGCCACCATTGAAGCGTCCTCCATTGTTGTACGATCGATTTGGCTAGTTCCCGAACTAATGCCTGGTGTGTGTGACACGCTAAAACACAACACCAAACTGCGACCAAGTGTAATCGTAGTCTGGAAATGCAGTAAAAGGCAAGCTCTAATTGTCAACCCGGGGTCTAGATCTACTGCCTACTCCGTGTATATCTGTTATCTAGCAAACTAAGTTAAGTGATTTTTGATTTAAGTAAAAGCAGTAAGAAGCATGAAATGGTTCGGTTTTCTAAAGCAAAGGAAGAGTCACTTGGGAATGAGTCCCCCTAGCTCCTTAGTTAGGTCACAGTTGTAATTACTTTTGGTTGCTTTACTGCTGATTATACTGCGGAAGATCCGACAGTATCTTGGACTCTCTTAAGCTGACCAAGCCCTCTCAGTAAAACTACCCGGTAGACGACTAGTCTTTACCGGGATAGAACGCTGAGGCAATGAACACAGAACTCCACTACTGGAATTAGATTCCAGTACAAAGCAGTGAATCGGCAAACTCTCATATAATCGATTCACTACTACCGATTGAAGAAGCTCTAACAACCTAATCAGATACTATCTATCTCAGGTTGCAGCAGAAATCAATAAAAGATGATCAGACTTCAATTGACTCATTCAAAACACTTCAATCGATTATAATCAAGCAACATTAGAATCCAAACGTAATTACAATCAAGATTCCTAACACATGGAACTAGGGTTCTTCATACCCAAGTGAGAGAAAGTTCTACTCCATAGAGAGAGAGGGAAACAGAATACAAAGCAGTCATACTAATAACAATGGGATGAATCTGCTCTGGCATGTCATTCTTCACTCTTGGGATGCAATCTGGGCTTCAATGGTGAGAAATCCACTCCAAATAGCTCCTAGGGTTTTTTCTTCGCACTTTCTCTCTCTAAAACTCTGTTTTTGCTCCAAAAAGTCGATTCCCTCTCCTTTGGCTTGAATCTGCCTCAAAAACTCGATTATGGGCGAAATACGGGTTGAATTACGGTCGTAATCATGTTATGCCCGTAAATCGCCCAAAACGCCTGTTTCACTTAACTCCGAGGAAGGGAATTACGGTCGTAATTACCCAATTACTCCCAGTAATATGGAATTAAGACCGTAGTTACTTTGACTCTTGCCCGTAATTTTCTCTGCGACAGGAATTCTGAAGAATTATGCTCGGCATTGCATTTACGGGCATGACAGGAGCAATTGCACCCGTAAATTGCTTCTTGGATCGCCTCCTAACCTCCAAATGACCCGAAACTTGCGCCTATGCACCTCTTTACTTTCTAGGACCTGAAATACGACAAAACAGCACAACCTAGCGTAAAATAGGCCAAGGAACAACAAATTCGAGCTAAAATGGTCAGGAAACAAGAGTGAAAACATGTGCAAATACGATGCTATCAGTGAGCTCTGCCTTCCCTGCCATGAACAGAATGCTCGGACTGAGCCCTTCTTTGCCCTCCCTTCCTAGGGCAGTCTTTAGCAAAATGCCATGGCTCGCTACAGTAATCGCAGACTCCCAAGTGCAGGTTGCACTCCATGGGTGGTTCTTCCCACACTAGTTGCGTGGCTCCCGGTGAAGGTAAGTCGTCCCTGATCGGGTTGAGTCGGCCTGGCTCTGGGTGGCCTCATAGTAGCTCTAGGTCGGTCTCTTCCTCGATTGACTCGGCTGGTCTGGCCCGTTAGACAGGCTGGCAGCCTTTCTCTTAGTCCCCTTTTTGTTGCATCTCCTCTTCAAGCAGGTTCGTATGTGCCCTCTCCAACTGAGAGCTTCCTGGTAGATCTCCATGTTGTTCCAATTCAACATACTCAACTGACGCCTAAAAGAAGGCTTTAGGGTCCCCAAGTAGTGGGTGCGTTGAGTGTGCGCCTCCTCAAATTGAGTCCCTCCTTAGGTAAGCAGCTTGTCGAATCTGGCCGTGTAATCAGTCACGCTCTCTTCTTCTTCTCTACCCCACTAGTGATTTATCAGCAAGAATTCCCTCTTCTTCGCGATTCAATAGGCCTCCGGTACAAAGTGGTCCTCGAATATCTGTACGACCCCTAGCTAGGTGATGGCTGAAGGATCCTCTCGACTGGCTGGCAGGGTAGTCAACCAGTTGTATGCAGCGTCCGGCATCAAGGACACTGTCAGCAGTACTCTATCCTCGTCATCAGCCCTCATCTCGACCAACGTACAAGTGACATTGGCTACCCCGGGGTATGTTTAAAAATTTCAAATAACATAAGTTTAAATAAAGTACCAATCTCAAATAACTTAGTATCTCAAATCAAAGCCCTAAACACGTGGGCAAAACATAAATCATACTCTTAAAAGAAAGAAAGAAATCTGCAGTTCTTAAACTCATAACCATAAAGTCTTAATAACTTAAAGAGTTCTCCAGTGCTTACTCTGATGTCCGGCTCGACATTCCTCAGCGGGTGTGGTGTAGGGCTCCTATAGCTCTGATCACGAACTGTCTGGTTGCGATCTCCCCCTCTACGATCTGGTGAGTGAGTTGGGATGAGTCTACGCCCTACTTAAATTCGGAACGCCTAGGATTATTCTCTAGGAACTAACCGCAACTTGTGTAAATGATTTGTACTTCCGCCTTTCAAGCTTTTAACTCTTGTAAAATTTATTATTTCATCCTTTATCTTACAATTAACATTCAATGAAGATAAAAATTCTAATTTTGTATTAAATAATAATATGTCTATCCTTAATAAAGAAATTGGAGTGATTCGAGAAATATTGAGAACTTTGTTGATAAATATATTTAACCTGATAGATAAATAAAAGGAAGAGATAACGTTGGAGAAAAAAAAATCTCACGAATCAAGATATACAATTTCTCTAATTATAATAGATTTTATATCCGTAGATTTTAGAGATTTGAAATCTCTAAAGCTTAAATTCATAATACAAAAAGCAACAAAAATAAAAACAGAATTTTTTACTAAATCTACGGATTAAGTCAATCCATAGCCTAGATCATGTTCTTCAAACGGACCCCTTAATTTATAAATTATTTTATAGTTTATTATAAAAGGAATTTTACATTGTCATTGATGCTTTAGTTTTTGCCATTAGGGCACAATTTGAAGTTGTACCTTTAACGTTATAGTACAACTTTAGGTTGTACATATACTCTTTTGTATAGTCCATTTATGGTACAAATTAATGTTGTACATTTAAGTTATGGTACAACTTGAAGAGTTAAAGTTGTAGCACAACATAAATGTCAGATTCTCTTATGGTACAGCTCTAACTTGTACTTTTAACAATATAGTACAACTTCAAGTTGTACTATAAAGTACCAATACTTTAAAGCATAGTAGAAATGTTCTTATTTTAAAGGTTCGACTATTTAGATTAAATGAGTGAGCTCAAACCAAACTAATGATCTTAATGATTGAGCTCATGATCTTAATAATGAGTTAAGATTTCAAAAAGTCGTCAACTTGTTGAGCTCAAATCCAACTTATTTTAATTACCGAAAAAAAAATCCAACTTATTTATTAACAAACCAAGTCTGAATAAAAGAAACCTCGACTCCGACTTGGGTTATTACAAACATCTCAAACAATTCATTTACTATGTCCTTCCGTGCAAAATTCTATTAATTACCGTTAAAGGGATTGGGGGACGAAAATTTCAGTAACCTTTCACGTTCTTATATACAAACATAAGATCTTGCGAAGCAATAAACTACGACAAGACAATGGACTTGCTTCCATTCCACTACTGCCCCATAAAACCCTGCCTCTTGTACTCTCTCTTTCAGGTCCTAACCTAGCAACCTATCTATACCTGTCCTTGGGAGGGACGGCTGCGCCTACTGGGACTCAAGGGGCTGTTTCTGAAAACTGGGAAATATGTGTCCATTTCCAAGCGTTCCAAGATATCCTGTGTAATCCAGAGATACGACGAATGGCCTTCAATGTACTCAGTAACATCAACCTGCAGCAGTTTTAGTTTCCAAGGAATAGATGGATAGGATTAATCGCACATCAGTTGGAGGAAAAAAGGAAAACAAGGGAAAGAGCATTTCTAACATTCTCGATTCCTGGGACGTCTATTGGTTGAATCCCGGCTAAGCCTTGTGTAAGCAAACTGTCAAGAAAAGGTAAGTGTTTAGCTTCTTATATAGAATGGTGAATTGGTGATGCCCACATGCATTTGCATGCTTGGTATTTGAACGCAGGCAAAACGTTTATGCTTTATTTATGAACAAATTTCTACATCATTTGTTTGTAAAAACAGATTCCTGACGGTCCGATACCTTGCCCGGAAAGCAATTCCAAGCATCCAATCGTTTGTTGAGTAAGCGTTCACAAACCTTCCTGCTACCATCTACAAAAAAAAAAAAAAAAAAAAAAAAAAAAAAAAAATTGGAGGAAGCTGAGACATCTTAAGTTACACTCTGTTTGGAAGAGCGGGTGCATATATAGGGTGCAAATGAGGGCTACGAGGCATTTATCCTCGTCTGGATACGTTGCAACAAGAATGGGGGTGGAGAAAGGGAGTTAAAGTCACTGTTTTGGCTTCCCCCAAATTGGGGTGCAAGATGGAAGGAGAGGGAAGGGGGTGAGACCTTAGAAGGTGGTGGGAACGGGTAAGGGAAATGGCAAGGAAAAAGAGGTAAGTGGTGGGGTCATTTTAATTATTTTGAGTTAATTTTTTATAACAATTATAATTATTTTATATCTAAATATATATTTTATTACTTATTTACACCCCTTACTTTTTCTCCCAAACAACAATTTATACCCTCTTAAATTTACCCCTCCTACAATTTACACATCAGTTTGCAACCCTCGAATTTGCACCCTCCTCGTTGTCAAACATAAACATAAAGATGATGCTCAATGATGTGCCACAAACTTTTAGAAACAGGAACATATTTCTTTTGAAATTCTGTTTGAAAGCAATTCCAGAATATATGGAAATTTATATCCGATACTAGTTTCTTAGATTTATTTCAATTCTTGTTTCTAGAATGATTCTCACAACTATCGAAATTAATTATTTTTAATAATAATAATTGGTTAATTGCATGGTTGGTCACTGAAATTACAAAAAACGTTCAAGTTTGGTCACTCGAAATATTTAAATCCATTGGTGGTACTTCAGTTTACTGAAACCGTTCACGTTTGGTCACTCTCCGTCCAACTCCGTTAACTTTGACTGATATGACAGTCAACTCTCAAAGTTGACCGTTAACTTATTGACGTGGCAACTAAAAAAATATTAAAAATAAAAAAATAAACTTTTATATTTTCCACCTCATTATTATATTCATTAAAAAATCTCTTCCTCCTTGAAAAAATCCAGTTGGGGGAAAGGAGAAGAAAGCCCCAAAAATTCACCTTGTTTCTTCCTTCTTGCTATTGTTAAACTCTTTCCTGACCTCACCTCATAAGAATCCGCAGATATAACCCATCGAAGAACGCATGCCAGAAGAAATCATCGGTGAAGGCTTCCTTGTCGATATTAACCTCCGCCAGAACTCCTTGTACCTCTGCTCCCCGCCTTCCCCGAGCCACCGCTCTGCACCAGAATCCCATTCCCGAGGACCACTTTGTACATAATCCCCAGCCTACTCTTGCCCAACACATAAGCCGACCTCAATAGCTCCCCCCAGCTCGAAACTAAACCCTTTGTCCATCGAGACCAGCTCCCCTTCTCCTGATTCCCCTCCTTCTCCGCCTCCTCTCGCCGTCGCATCTAATGCCGTCGAATCATGGCTCTGACGGCCGCGAACGGAGAAGCCGAACGCGAGACAGATCGAGATTCGCAAGAATTTCCTGTCTCCTCCACCGCCGCCAAATTCCCCTTTGCGATGCAACTGCACCCGCCTAATTCATCTTCTTCTTCCAGTATAGGTAGACGATCACGACACCGGAGCTCAATCCTCTCTTTTTTCAAGCCCTCGCCCGAACCGGACGACGAGGTTTCGGTCCGGCCGTCTTCCCTTGAATTTCCTGGGAGATCGTTGTTGCAGGGCTTTTTAAATTTATTTTTTAATCAATGTATAATGAGATGGAAATTTTAAAGATTATTTTTTTAATTTTTAAATATATTTTAATTACCACGTCATTCATTTAACGGTCAACTACGAAGTTGACTGCCACATCATCAAAAATTAACGGAGACTAACAGAGAGTGACCAAATTTGAACTATTGAAATAATCTTAGTGAGCATGAATGGAATTAAATATTTGTAGTGACCAAACGTAAACGTTTTTAGTAAATTCAATGAACAAATTGCAATTCCACTTTCCAATTTCAGTTTCAAACATGAAGTTGAATCATCTCCCGAGTTTTTAGGCTATACAAACAGGTTGTAAAGCAAGAATCACCTTTCTCGCAGCTTCCCAGTTCTCGTCTTTAATAGCGATAGGTGCCCCCAAAAGAACAACTCTCTCGACTACTTCAGCTGTAAATTTTTCCGAAGAGCGGGTAATGGGGCAATTAGTGATAAGGATCCATCCAGAGTTTAGCAACAGTAGTGTGAGTAATGAGTGTAATTATACCGTTGCGTTCTGTCTCAGCCAAAGCCTGGAGACACTTCAAAATTACCCGTGCCCCGAGTGAGTAACCCACCAGTGTCACAGGCCTAAGAGAATCAAAAGATAGCGGTGATAAGAACCTACTTTACTTGACTGAATATTGGGGTAAGCAGCATTCAGGGAATATGTATTTGAACGAGCTTACCTATTCCCTTGCAGTCCATTTAGTAGCACTTCAGCCAACAGCTTCCCAGCTTTGTCGGACCTACAAAGGGTCAATTCTGCTAGTGAGATCTGTTACATGCCGTTCTCCGACAGACAAAAGATGGTTCCATACTAACCTGTCAATGGCCATTGTCCATGTACTATCTATGAAACTAGTAGCTGAAAGTAATGTTGTTGGCAAGTATAAGGCTGCCATAAGTGTAGCCATCACAGTCATCATAGCACCTTGCCTCATCAACTGTGATGCAATTGCTAGAAAAGTAGGAACACAGAGTCAACAACAATCACAACTGCACTCAATTGACCAAGCACTAAAATGGAAAAATGCAGTGATTTCATCTACACAGATTACTTGAGGTAAGCCAATCCTGAATTGCAGTGCTCACTGCAATTAGATGCTCAGATTCCCACTGCAGCGCATACCTATAAGTAATCACTTTAGATCCATATAATTTTAGGTGTACAATGATGCACTTCTTAAAAAGTGATGAGTGTGATACAGAATGCAGGAACATTTCTCACCTCTCCAAGTTGTCTATTTGTCCTTCCCAGGGCTTGAAGAAATCCTTCTCATCGAAAATAAATCCTGATATCATGATCTCAACCGCCAGCCGCTGTCAGAGAAATTGGATTATTAACAGAGAACACGCAGATCAATATCAATCAGTTACAGAAAGACAAGTCCAATAAAAAAATTTGAAGTTGATTATCTAATACAAGGCAAAGCTTACGCCTTGGTTATGGCTGTCACCCATGGCTTTAAAGTCAAATTCCTCCACACTACCAGTTCGCCTAGCCATTTTAGTTCCTGCCAGTCCAGCTCCGGCGGCTAACTTAATTGAATGTGCCAAACAGAAGGCCAAAAAAGTAAGATATTCCATCACTTGATAGATTAGTGTATTACTCCTGTGCCAAAGCGGACAACAACTGGAGAAACTAAAAGCAATCTACTGGTCAAGGACGCGGTGAACTGAAGATTTATTGCCTATACCATAAGGGATTTTCTGTGCAAAAGATAAGATTGTTTGTAGGGAAATCACTAGATAATCTAAACAAAATCCTCCATAACCTACAAAGACATGAACAACAATGTCTCTTGGGTCAAGTGCTATTGATACCAATCTAACATTGCTAATGGCAAACATTTCATGAGAGACATATGCAACCATTGTTTCTTATACGAAGAGGATGGAGGATGAAAGGAGAATAAACCAAGACATATAAGATTAAACTTGCTTTGGCATACATATTCAACCTACGAAAGTTGGCAACAAGAATGTTCATTGTTTCCACTCCGTCCAAGACTTAACCGAGTGCACAGATTAATCTCAAAGCCACTCCAACAGTGTAGAAGGTCACAGATTAATCTCTTGTATTTCAGATGTCAGATTATCGGTCTAATTCAATAATTTTGAAGATGAATGCTTCATTGTTGCACATGGAAAGACAACATAGCCATACACAATAATAGACAATACAGACGCTGACCAAACAATCACCTCCGAAGGATGCAGCAACAGCAACAGAACCAGCTACAGTTCCTGCGGCGGTTGCAGCTGCTGCAAACCCAGTTGCTCCAATCACAGGTATAAGGGTGCCCAGTGTTGGAGCTAGAGCGCCAAATCCTGCTGCAATTGCAGGCGCAGCTAATCCTAAAACAACGGGAACAAAAACAGAAACGGGTTTAATGGTGGGTCATACAGTTCAAGTCCTATATTATTGGAAAAACTAAACAGAAATCCAATAAAATGGGCAAAAAGGAAGGCAGGGTAGCATTACCACCAGTGACAGCCATTAGGGCTCCTCCAGTTATTGCAGCTGCACCAATGATACTGCCACGCTTGATTTTTGCCCATCTTCCTTCAGCTGATGGGGTTTCCCTCTTTGCCTCTTGCTGTTTCAGTATAGCCATTGCCGAGCAAGCTACCATTGTCTCAACGGCTTCCTATGTAAAAAACAATGGATGTTGAAATCAACTTACTATACAACGTTATTTGACTGCTATTGTTTCACAAGCAAGCAGCAATCACTTTGAGAGTGTGCTAATTGAGAGAAAATATCAATTAATTGAAACGAACCATTTTTATCCAACTGATGTCAAGCCAAGTCGACAGCAATCTCAAAGCCACACGATGCCTAGCATCATAGCCCTTTCTGTGCCTATTACTTGACTTGTTATCATCATGTTTATCTGCCAGGCAAGCTGAGAGAAGCTCATAAAGAACTGTGATTTTCCTGTGGTAACTAATCATCGTTACTTCTTCAATGGGTTTATCGTCAACTTTGATCCCAGAGTCTTTATCCAGGCCATGAGGACTATCATAATTAGGTGAACTACTGCCACTTTCTTGTGGTGTTAGAAAGGGTACATTTGGAGCATCAGAATCAGGTTGCCCATTGTCAGAAGCTAATTTCTCACGGCACTCATTTTCATACTCCCTGTGTTTCTTTTTCTTAGAAATGTAAGAAACATGGATTGTTTCCATGGTTTGTTCAGTAGAATCAACAGCTTTTGCCAGAGCAATCTCTTTATCTTCATCTTTAGAAGGGGCTGTGCCATCTTCCGCAAGTAACCTCAAGAACTGGGGATATCCAAAGAAGACATAATAATTTCTTCACAATGCTTCTTATGGAAATAACCAACTTTGAGAGAAAACGATGCCAAGAGAGAAACGTACAGCTCCAATATGACGCCTGGATGCAGCAGAGCCAGCAGTCTCCTCCAGTCCAGACCAAGCTGAAGTATCTATCTCCAGAAATCTATTCAATAGAAAGTATAGTTCAACGGCCAATACCGAAATACAGACTGCTTGAACTGAAACTGTGCTGCTATATGTAGCATCGGATTCAAACACAACCAGTGTGATTCGTCCTAACAAGGCGAGGGCTATTTGAGCTACAATTGCACAAGTCTATCCAATTAACAGTGGATCAAGAGCGAATAGAAGCACCATGATCAAGTGACAAAATGAATAAAATTATGAAGCAAGCGGCAGCAAGGGAAGAGGAATATATACCTGAAAACGATGCGAAGGAGACCAGATTTCTCATGGACCCATAGGTCAGGGTCCTCGGAAACGGAGTCGCTACTGCTACTACAAGAACTGGCTCTATCGGCGTCCGCGGGCTCTGCCCCGATGAACAAGCCCAAAGGTCGGGTTTGATGGATCTGCGCCTGGTGAACAGCTAGCGCGAACAATGCTCCGGCAGCGTACCTCTGCGTCGGAGGCAGAATCGACGGACTAGAAGTATCCATAAAATGGAATGAAATTTTTAACCCCGACCGAGAAGCGGCAATCTCTACACATCCTTTCTGGTTTCGCAGCTATAGAAAACGTAGTTGAAGAACCGCGGGTCCGAGTTAGGGATGGCAATAAAACCCAAACCCACGGGTACCCACCCGACCTAATCCGGGGGTTTTGGGTCGGGTTTGGGTTTAAACCCGTTCATTATTCACCGGGTTAGGTAAACCCGACCCATGGGTACCCGCCCTCACCCATATAATTCATTTTCTCGGCATATTTAATATTCTAAACAACTAATCTTATTTATGTTTGTGGAGACATGTCTAATTTTTTATTTCTATTTGTGTAGAATGAATTTGATGTTATCGAGTGGAGATTGAAAAACTTAATTGAAAGGAAGAAGCTTTCAATTAATCATGTTATTTATGGATAATTTGTGATTTGCTTAAATTTTCTTGAGTTTTCTAGATTGGTGTAGAACAATTTGTATAGTTAATTTGTGATTTGCTTGAATTTTCTAGGATGGTGTTTTATATATGGATAATTTGTATTGAGAGATTGATATTTGACGTTAATTTTGATAGGAACTTGTTATTGTGAATTTTTTATAACAAAAATCCGTGGGTACCCATGAACCCGCGGATACCCAGCGGGTTGAGTTGGGTTTGAGTTTTTAAAACCCAGTGGGTTTTACCCCGGGTTTTTTTCACGGATAAACCCATGAGTTTGGGTTTGGGTTTGGCAAAACCCGACCCAACCCGACCCATTGCCATCCCTAGTCCGAGTTGGCGACACAAAGGGTTGTAATATATTGTTGCCTATGAATGTATAATATTAGGGTTAATTGCATCATTGGTCACTGAGATTACAAAAAACGTTGATGTTTAGTCACTAGAAATATTTAAATCCAATCTTGATCACTCAAATTAGTTAAATGGTTCAAGTTTGGTCACTATCCGCCCAACTCTGTTAACTATTACTTATGTGGCAGTCAACTTTTATAGTTGACCGTTAAATGTGTGACGTGGCAATTAAAAAATAACAGTGTTCAAGAACACCCGCCTAGGCGCTCGCCTATGTGCGTTTAGTAGCTAGGCGAGGAGGAAACATGGAAAGGAAGCTTGGGCGAAGTTGTTGGGCGCAATAAATGCGGAATCGCGTTCAAGAACGCCTAGGCGGCGAGTACTAGCTTGGATCGGCGATTCCAAGCGGTGGGCGACGCCCAGAAAAAAAAAACAAAAAAAAAGACCATGCTGTGCGTTTTGGATGGGCCGAAAAGGGGAAAACCCTAATGGGTAAGACGATCGTGAGCAGCAGCCCTCCCATAGTCGACCGCCTCTCTCCTTCGTCACCTCTCTCCCTTCTCTCCAACAGTCGACCCCCTTCATCCCTCCTCTACAGCCGTCTCCAACAGTCGACCGCCTCCAGCAGGGGGCTTCGTCGCCGGCTGCGCCACGTCCTCTCCGCCAGTCTCTAGAATCGCACGTCGTCTGTCTCCACCATAGCCAATCGCGCCTCGTCCTCGTCGGTCTCCAGCATCGCCAGTGCCCAGTCGTAACTCGTCCTCGCCGTCGGTCTGTAGCATTGAAGGTACTAACTCTTCTTTCTCTTTCGATGGATGATTTGAAAGGCTAATTAAACTCGTCCTCGCCGTTAGTCTGTGTGTCAAGAGGCTAATTAAACTGTGTGTCTCTAATGATTTGAAAGGCTGCTGAAAATGTGTGTTTGCGAAGCCTAGTAGATTGCTAATTCAGGGACATGATTTGAAAGGCTGCTGAAAATGTGTATTTGCGATTACAGGGGCTGCTTGTTTTTTTGTTAAATGGAGTAGACAGAGGGTACTGTCACGGCTTCTATGGTTGAAAATGCGAACTCCTTGAAGAGGAAGTATGATGATATTGGTTGGGAATATGGAAAGTTCGTCGATCCAAACAACAAGGATAGAGTCATATGTAACTTTTGAAAGAATGTAAACTCAGGAGGAATTAACTGTTTCAAGAAACGCATTGCTCGGGTTGGTGGTGGAGTTGCCAAGTGTAGGAGTTGGCTAGATGAAGCTAAATTAGCATGCTTGAAATGGTTGGAAGGAACAGAAAAGAAGAAGCAGGATAAAGTTGTTTGTGAGCTAGGTTTGAGAAGTGATGTTAATGTCTCTTCCGGTGGACAACTGGAAGAAGACCTTACTTGTGCAGGTAGCTCTGAACCTCACAAGTTAGGTCCTATAGACAAGTGGGCATGTGCCATTGATCCTAGCTTGTCTTCGAGTGCATCATTTCAGCAAAAAAAAGATAAATCAAACACTTTTTAATGAGAGGACACTTCAAGTCCATCAATATATTGCAAAATGGGTGTACACACATGGTTAGTGCATAGCTATACCCTTTACTTCTTTCTTAGATGCACAATTTGTTTTTCTTATTTACTCATGAATTTATTTTGTAGCTGTTGCATTCAATGCCATTGAGAATGATGAGTTCAAGCAAATGGTTGAGGCTATTGGTCAATTTGGTCCTGGATTGAAGCCTCCTACACAGTATGAGCTTCGAGAGCCTTTGTTGAAAGTTGAGTATGCAAGGACTAAAAGCTTGTTAAGTGATCGAGAGGCGGAGAAGGAAAAGAATGGTTGCTCTATTATGACTGATGCTTGGACAGACATGAAGAGGAGAAGCATCATGAACATAGTCACACATTCTGCCGAGGGAACCAGCTTTATAAAGTCGAAGGACACATCAACGATTTCTCACACAGGTGAAGTAATCTTTGAGCTAGTGGACAATGCAATCGAGGAAGTTGGAGCTGAACATGTGGTGCAAGTGGTGATAGACAATGCTTCCAACAATATGGCAGCAAAGGCCCTCTTGTTGGAGAAGAGGCCGAACATATTTTGGAGTTCTTGTGCAACCCACACCATCAATTTGATGCTCCAAGGAATCGGCAACATACCAAGGTTCAAGAAAATTGTAGATTAAGATAAGGGGTTCACCATCTTCATATATGGCCACCATCGCACCTTGGAATGCATGAGATCCTTCACCAAAAAGAGAGAGATCATCCGACCAGGTATGACTCGATTTGCTTCTCAATTTCTTACTCTACAAAGTTTGTTGGATAAGAAAGATTCTTTGAGGAAGATGGTGGTGGATGCGAAGTGAGAAAATATTAAGGAGACGAGTTTAAAGAAAGGCAAGGAGGCTTATGACACGGTTCTTAGTGTTAGGTTTTGGAATGGTGTGGAAATTTGCTTGAAAGTCTTTGAGCCATTGGTGAAGCTTATTCGATTAGTGGATGGGGATGTGAAACCTGCTATAAGTTTTTTGTATGGTGAACTTTTGAAGGCAAAGAGAGAGATAAAGGAGGCGTTTAAGAATGAAGAACTTCGTTACAAAGAAGTCATTGCTATTGTGGAGAAGAAGATGAGAGGCAGACTTGATACTCCATTGCATCTAACGGCATATCTTCTCAATCCTCACTACAGTTATGCCGACTCCTCGATATTTGACAATGCCGGCATTACAACAACATTGATCACTTGTGTTAAGCAATTCTATTATGGTTGTGATGAGGATATACATGATAAGGTGGTGAACATTGAGTTCACAAAATTTCAAAGGAAACAAGGACTCTTTGGAAAAAAGATGGCAAAGAATTGTGTAAACTTTGACTACAATCCTGGTTAGTACTTCTTTCCACCTTTCCTTGTAACTTATGATTTAGTGTCATTCACTAACTTAGAGTTAATTAATTTCTTAGTGGCTTGGTGGAGAATGTATGGAAGTGAGACACCTCATTTGCAAAAGATGGATATAAGGATTATGTCATTGACCTCAAGTTCTTCTGCTTGTGAGCGAAACTGGAGTACTTTTGAGTCGGTTAGTAGTTTTGAATTTGTGTCCATATGCTATATAGTAAAAGTACATATTAGATGGAAGCTTGTATAATCAATTGTCCTTGCAGATTCATACCAAGAAGAGGAATAGGCTTACTACAAGTCGCATGAATCAACTAGTGTACATCCAGTTCAACTCTAGATTGATGTCCAAGCAAAGGAAGATAAAGGAGAGGAAGAATGTTGATGTTCTCATAAGTTCTGATTCAATTGAAGCACAAGGCTTTCTATCTACAAATAACTATAAGGGAATGTCAATGAATTTTTTTTGCCACGTCAGCCTCTCCTGAATAAACCGCACACTGTGGAGGGACATTTATGTAAATTACTCAATCCTTCTCTCTATCGCTTCCTTCTTCCAAACCCTCCCAGAAATCTCAACCACCCCTGAAACTTGCCTCACTCTCAATCATGTCCCGAATCCCTCGGTGCCAGCTCCGGCCGACAGTCCATCTCCAACACCACCACTGAGCAAACAATCCTTCTCAAAATCGGTCCCAAAATCAGTCCTCTCTCAAATTGCGTATTCAAGCAAACAATATTTCTCTGCGCCTCCCAAGATCGGCCATGTTTTTGCTCATCTACACCCAAAGGTGCAGATCATCATAAACCCTATTCATATTTGTCGACCTTATGTCTGATTCAACCCATACTCATATATTTTCACCTGCATGCACAAACGAACAAACATAAGCAAGATCCATTCAAATCATCAATTTTATTGAAACAAAATAAATGACAATCCAGAACACAAGAATAATAGCTTTGAGGAATGCAAGGAGATGTCGATTCAAACAACTATTTGGTGGTGAGCTCAACCCAACCTGCAACATAGTCTTTGCCATTGCAGCGATGTAGTCCTTCCCCAGGTCGCTAGACAGAGAAGAACATGCATGCATCGGTTGATTTGGATTCTTCAGAGATTCGAGGAGATCGACAGAGAGAAGCAATTTCCCAGCCGCTCGATCTGTTGAGCTTCTACCAAAACAATTCTCCTCCAAGTCTCAGGTAGAGACACATTGAAGAACAAATGCATGAGCCGCGTGGCTTCTTCGCCTTGACCCGTCATTACTTTAGAAGGCAGGGATGGTACGAAATATTAGATAACGTGTCTGTAATAACAAAATCAAAGCTCACAAAATCCATTACTCTGCTTCCCACCGAGCTAGGCAAGGTCGGAGAACACTTAGCAAATGCAAATCAATCCCGCTTGCACGGCAGATACCCACGTGTTGATAAGGACATTAAAAGAGATGCAGGCATGTTGGATTTCATTCATCTTAATCAAGGATGGTTATGTTTCAAGATTTCTAAGTATTTGAAACATTGGAATAAAGATTTCTTTCCCTAATTTAAGCGTTAGATTAGTAGATGTTATGAATAGACGAAGATCATGGCATCAAAACATTTAATTAATTGGCTTGGTAATTGATCTTTAATGTATTTGTATGTGTATAGACTGGACTAACTAAATAAATTCTTATTTTTATGTCGGTTACAATCCAATTAATTGGAATAAATTAATTAGTAAGAGAAAGAAATATAGTCTAATGTAGAAATACAACAATTGTACATGCAATGATGCAAAATGTTTATCGTAGTTAATTTATTGGACATAACAACTAATGATAGCCCTTTTAATCAATATCAAGGTTGTCAAAGCGCGGGTCGATCCGTCGATTGGGCCGCTTTGACCCTGACCTGATGTAAAAAGGGTCATACACACCCGCCAGGTCGACCTGCCGCAAGGTATTAGAATGGAGTTCAAACCATTTTGTTTTTCTTTGGTTTGTGAAATACACTTATTTTTCGTTTTTCTTTTTGCATAACCCAGTCTTTGGAATTCTATGTTGACCATTTGAACATTGATGCTATAAAGCATGTGTGAATTTTCACTATATGTTGGATCCAAGTACGATATGTTATTTTGGTGTAATGTTATATGTTATTACTCATATGTTACATGATATTTTATATAATTTATAAATGTACGAACAATATAATCTTTAACTATATATCCAGGCTAAAGCGGTCAGCCCATTACCAATCCATTTGCTCGACCAGACCAATGGGCTAAATCGGGTTGACAACCTTGCTTGATACTCATACATTAATTTGTATTGTGATTGAAATTATATAAATTGCATTATCACAAAGCAACACTACTACTTGCATGATATCCACAATTATGATATTCATCAAACAATCAGCATTAACTAAATAAATAATAATAAGAGTTGAAATATCAAAATAAAACCAAATCGGCCAATAGGTCGGGCGCTATGCTAGTTTGAGGGAGGAGATAGTCACACTTTGCATGTGTTTGGTGATGAAGATGATGAAGGTTTCGATGGCATTCTATGGAATGTTATTGATGAGGCAAGGAGAGCTAGTGAGAATCTTCAACCTCGCAGGAGTGCCAGATTAGTGAGAGACCTTGCCGATGAGGAGTTTGAGTCTGAAGAAGAAGATGATGAGGAAAGTGAGGCCATTCATTCTGAGGAGGATGTTGTGGTTAACAAGAACTATATGGATGAAGATGATGAGTGATCAACTTGGAGTTTATTAACTTGTCATCGCCTTTATGGCTTATCTTAACATTTGTCATGTTTTATTATGTTTGTTTCCTTCTATGTTACAACTTGAATGATTGTTATCTTGAATATTGTCAGTTACAGAACTGCAAATCAGTGAACTTA